GTTCCTTGTACTATCTTATGGGCTACGTTTGGTGGGCAGGACAAGGATGAATATTATATTTTGGATTGGTTAGGTTAGAATGGGAAGAAATAGGTTGTGATGAAATTTGTAAGCTGTGTGAGTTAATCCACCCTATTTCGGATTTATAGCCTGTCAAGTCCAAATTTGAACGTGTAGCCATTTTAATTCGCTATACCCATTCCATTCAGCAGGCCAAGCAAACGTATGGTGTTTTTTTTAAGAGATGTGCTATCTACACACATTTTTTTACTTCTCACACACCATTTGTTAATTTCTGTTCGTTGATCTTCTTCAATTCATCTAATCTGACGGTCGAAAACCAAAAAGATGTGAGAGAAGTAAAAAGGGATGTGATATCTGTCAAAAAAAAAAAAAAAAAACTAGAAACAAACACCTCCTTTGTTCAGTCACGTGTCTCTTTTAAAATCCACGTGCCACACGTGCTGCACTTTTCTAGCCGCCTCCTGGCGGTCTACCACTCTCCCAAACTCGCGCGTCTGGCCGACATCGCCGACTCCGTACTACATAATATTCCAATACTCTTATAACAAAGCACGTCAAACCCAACGGCTCACAGCCCGCCACGTCATAACCCACACGACTCCGCGCGCCAGCGTGCCACATGTTGGCACCGAATATTCGATGCCACCAAATGTTCCACATTTCGATTTCCCCCAAATTTTGATTTCTCAAAAGAAAGAGGAAGCCCCTTCTCTAATTTTTGCCCCAAATCAGGAAACCCTAATTCCATTAATGGCTGAATTGGTCTCTCGATTTTCTGAATCGCAGTTTTTTCTCGACTCCGACCAATTCAATTTCGTCGATCTCGTCAGATTTTCTTCTCTTCGGCAGCGCTCTCCTCCACCTTCTTCTTCTCAGATTTTCAGTCGCCCTTGTAACTTTTTTTGACAGAGAAAGCGTGCTAGGGATTCAGAAAGTATAGTAGGGACCCCCCCATACGACTCACAGTTATGGGGAAACGTAAGCCTTTCATCCCTTTAGACTTTTCAATTGGATAATTTTGTTCATTAGGGTTTTCTTAATTCTGCTAATGCTGATGTTTCAATTCGCTAGTTTTAATTGTAATTTGCTTGTTTTATTGCTTTAGATCCCAATTTTGCAAGCAATTTATTACTTTTTTGTTGGTTGCAATTATTGCAACAAGTTTTGGTTTTGCTGATTTTAATGTTTGTTTGAGCTCATACTACATTTGGGTTTTTGATTGTCTCCTAAAAAAGGAGGAGAAATTAGTATATAAGAATTGTGGAATTTTCGGTGTTGAGGTTGTTGTGGATTTTGGCATTTGCAGGTAGTTCTCAGCGCAAGAATGCTGCAATGATGGATAGTGATGATGATAATAGTAGCGTGAGTTCAACGTCGACTACGCGCTCCGATCATGTTTCGGTGTCTGTCAATGAAGATATGCATGTGGATAAGAATAGTTTACTTGACCAAGCCGTAGATGCTTTGTATGAGAAGAGGTATTCTCTCTTTTAATAATCATATTATGTAATGATAGTAATAATACTCATACAAAAGTGCGAAGAAGCTCGTTTTATTGTTGCCCATTTTGCTTACTAAATTTATACTTTGTGTATGTGAAGGGGTTCCACAAGAGAAAAGGCTTTGTCAGCAATTATTGACGCGTTTAATAGTAACATGCAACATCAGTTTGTGGAAAAGAAGTAAGCAACTGCATTTGATTATGTTCACTTATGCTCTTAGGACCCAGAATGCCTTAGTTCTTACCGATTGTATTTTGCATTGATTCTCATGAACTTATTTGGTGTTCATCAGGTTTGCCACTTTATTGCATCAGTGTCTGAATTGCATCAAAAAGGGTTCGTCCAAAGAGATATGTTTGGCGTCTCATGTGATCGGTTAGGTCTTAACTCCTTTTTTGGCCCATTCGTATACTTCTCCCCCAAGTATCAAAATCAGGTTTTAATCTTTTCGTGTGTGCTTGTAGGACTATTGGCTTTGACTGTTGGATGTGGAGACAATGCTCATGAAATACTGGAAGAATCACTACCTGTGATTTCACAGGCTTTCAAATCTGGATCTGAAGTCTCAAAGACATCAGCGGTAGCTACGATATCATACTTCTTTAGGCTTTAGCTTCATATGATTTCTGGTTGTTGGACATATCATGATATTGAACCTGTTTTCCTTTAACACAGAATTTGTTTTCTAATTGCAGTTACTGGAGTGTTTAGCTATTATCACTTTTGTTGGTGGTAGTGATCCAGAGCAAACAGAAAAGTCAATGCAAATTATGTGGCAAGTAGTTCATCCAAAACAAAGTTCCAATGTAAGTAAGCGAATGCCGTATTTATCTATTTTTATTTTGTGTGCCAGCTAAAGGTGCTGTTTCACTATTTGACTGTTGTCTATTCCACAACTTTTGCAGGTAATTGCAGTCAAACTCTCAGCAGCTGCAATAACCACCATGGTGTCTGCGTGGTCCTTTCTTTTGACAACTGTAGATGGGTGGAATCTTAATTTTAAAGATTGGCAAGAGTGAGTAAAATATTGATCACTGATGCATTTCATTGCTTTGCTTTTCTTTCATTTGATAAGGATTTGTCTGCTTGGTAATGTGTGATTCAAACCACATCCCGTTTATGTATTAAGACTTTGGCTGCGACCAGTTTGATGCAACAACCTTGTGGAATAACTCCCCCATCATTTTCTGGCCAATAATGCAGGTCCATAACATACTTATCTAGCCTGCTAGATAAGGATGACCGGTCTATGCGTATAGCCGCTGGTGAAGCTTTGGCATTAATTTTTGAGATTGGAAGTTTAGAAAAGTTCTCTGCTGGAGCTAATACTTCAAGTGATGCCTCAACTGAAGAAGGAAATAAACCTCGGGAATTTGTACATATACAAGGACTGAAATCAAAGATTATTAATCAAGCCAGAAACCTCTCAGCTGAGGCAGGTGGAAAAAGTTCTGCTAAAAAAGATCTTAGCAATCAGCGGAACACGTTCCGGGATATCTTGGAATATTTTGAGGTATATTAGACCATTGTGATTAAAATGGATACTTAATTATATTGATCCTGTATACTGATCTTATTCATCAATGTAGGATGGTTATTCTCCTGAAATTTCAATAAAGATTGGTGGTGAATCATTACACACATCAACGTGGTTGCAGATGATACAGGTCCTCTTATCCTCCTCCTCCTGTTTTCGTTTCAAATTTTTGTTTGGTTAGATAGTTTCAAGTCATTAAACTGTTACGGTTCTAAACCATCGCAGTTGAACTTTTTGAAGCGTTTTCTTGGAGGAGGTTTTATCAAGCACATGCAGGTTGCTTTGCTTACCCTGCGATATGATTTCTTCGTCATTTTATTGGATAAATTTGTATCTATTTTTAATCATGGCACTATAATTCATCTTTAATTAGGCAAAGGCTAAATTAATACAATTTTCTGAAACAGGAAAATGAACTCCTCCAGGATGTTCTTGGCTTCAATCCAAAGAAAAAGAATCTATCTGATTCCGAACATCGTCTATCTGGAGGTGAAAAGGTTTGTTCTTACAACTACTCCAATTGATTTCATTAGTTTGATATTCCATAGGTCTGCAGCAGGTGTTCTTTTGTTGGTAGGTAATTCTCTGGTCATTCATTAATATTGTTTCTTCGTTACAGAGGATGTTTAGGTCACCGAACTCGGTTCAAAGCAAAGCAAGGACCCAGCTGCTTAACAAGCAGCGAATGTTATCTGAGGTATGCTTGCGAACGCTTGCTTCAACGTGTTCAGGGTAAACATGCTGGCTCTTCAACTATACTTTGCTTCTTACCTTTTTACTGTCTTTATGCGTTCGCAGGGTAAAAATATCGGCCGCTTTGCAGCGAACATGGGGGACGATGTGTAAAAATCGATGCGCCTATCTTTTCGGCTTTGCACTACTTTTGGTCCCCAGGCTGGATTTTTTGGGTTTGCAACCATCTTGTTTCATCTCTAGTCATGAGTCTCATGACGTTAGTGGTGAGTTCAAACCATTTGCTACTCTGGAAAATTTCAATGAAAACTTGAAATGGTTGGATAAGGCTATATCTGTCATTTTCTGCTCTGGAAAATTTCAATGAAGAATTTTATCTTGTATTTTAAATTTGCTACAAATGGATTATAATTTTGACCAATGCGCTGCTAAAATCTTCAAAACTTTGTCATAAGATTATTATTATTATTTTTTTATTTTTTTACAAACGGTATTTACACTTGCAATAATGTGGCTGACTCGTCAAAAGATTTATTTTCGTGGAAACTTTTGTCACATCTGACGACCTTAAAATACAAGTAGGGCAAGTGTTTGACCGAACGTAACTTCGTTCCGACTAAGTTTTGTGTCCTGCTAAAAATTTTATGAACATTTCTTGGGGCCTCAGCCTCCATGAAAATAATCTGTGAAAGCTCCACGCATTGTTTTAGATCAATTTATATTTGAAAACTTTAACGAAAAACTTTTGGTACTGTTCATTTTAACGAAAAATCATGTTTTTACACTAAAAATTCAATTGTGGTAATATTCACTTTATCTTTTATTTTTGTCCTTATCATCAAAACTCAAAGTTTTCAAGCTTTTTTCATTAGTTTTTCTTTTATATTTTCCATTTGAATATTGAGCGACCTAGACGTGAAGCGTTATTGACCAACAGTAAAAAGACGTGAAGTGTGTCAGTTGGTTAGAGTGCGTGGCCCTTAAACACAAGGTCAAAGGTTCGAACCCGTCTTCAAGCGTTTTCTTGTTTCTTTTATTACATGTTAGGCCAATTATTTCCATCCAGACCAATTTTTTTTCTTATTTGAGTTTTTACCAAAGCCAGTTTGAACTTTGGTGGATTCTTTTACCAGTAGAGTGGAAATTCATTTAGTACTATGGTTTATCCGCTTATTAAGTTCGATTCTAATGGATGACAAACTTTGATACTAAATATTAAGTTAGACTCTAAAAAAATTTCATACTTATCACAACTCTAATCCAGTGTCGGGGTCTTCACTTGATTAATGCATATGAAACCATAGTGATCGATTAATCGATGTAACTGTGATTTAATCAAATGACAAGTTAGCAAGCAACCAAAATTTACAGTGACCCAAAACTCTCGATAGATCTCATGCTTGAAACCGTTCCCTAAACAAAAAAACGGGGGAGATGTCGTTGTTACTCTGTATACCTAGAAGCCACCTAAACCAGAAAAGTGCTTATTCATGGCCCGGTCCTTCCTGAAATTGTTTCTCCCACCTCCTCCTCTGCCTCCTCTCCTTCCCCCCCTTCCCCTTTGATTTCCTGCATTCTCTCCGTCTTCACCTTCGGCATTATCGTTGTGTTTATTATCTTGCTCCTCATTGGACTCCCTTTGTCTTCCTCCCCTCCGTCCTTTGCCCCTAGCATTCCCAACAAACTCACCTTCGGCATTATCGTTGTGTTTGGTATCTTGCTCCTCATTGGACTCCCTTTGTCTTCCTCCCCTCCGTCCTCTGCCCCTAGCATTCCCAACAAACCCTCTCCCTCTCCCATCCATCTGACCTCTCTCTTCGGCTTGAGAATTGTCAAATTGTTTGTCTTGCTCCTCCGAGTATTCTGTCAGCTTCTTAACCGCGCCTAGAGGAAGATTGCCACCACGGCCAAGGCCATGAATAACTTCTCGTTGTGCTTCAGTAATTAATGATGCTTCCCCAGCATTTGCAACTGCAACCGAACCTGCAACTTTGTAACTATAATTCTTACCATCCTTGACATAATATTGGGGCTTCTTTCTGGAGCCCCATTTGGAACTAGCTGCATCCTGAGATGAACTTCCAGTTTGTGTTTCCCACGGCCTACCCGTATTCGAGCTGCTTTTTTCACTAAATATCTCACTTTCCCCCACTCCTGAATCCGCAACACTCAGACCCAGATCATCAAAAGAGTCATCATACTCATCGTCATACTCAAACTGTGAAATAAGAGTAGCAGTGTTTGCAACGTATTTCTCATTTCTGTCATCCAGGGTATCCGTATCAGGCACGTCTGCTTTAGACTTCCTAACAAACCTTCCTTGTGATGAGGAGGATGAAACCGAAGGGGCACCATTTTGTTTATCCCTCACAACAACTGCTGTACTAGTGGCGGGTGGTGCTGTAAGCTCACCTAGTTTTCCTTTCCCTTTATCATTCCTACCAACAGTCGCAGTCTTGGGTGCTGGCATCGTCTCTAATGATATATCCAAGGACTGCAGATCTTCATGAAGAGTTCCCTCAAGAATCCTCTGAATAACTTCCTCAGGATTCTGGTTATAGGCTTCAAGACAAGCAGCTAAGAAACCTTTTCCATAATCAGGGAACAGGTCCTTTATTTGACTGATTTGCGACTCCACAATTGCAACATCTTCATCTATCTGCACCTTCTTGTTTGTCAAAGCGGCTGTCGTACTGGGCTGCTCCTTAACTATGAGTTTCTGAGTAGACATAAGTATTCCATATACATACCCCAGCTGCTCATCATCCATGATTATCCATCCTGCATGAACAAAGCCAACTAAATATGAATTTGCTTCTTCAAGCATATTATATTAAACGAGCTTGTACAAGTACAATATACTGTAATAGCATGTAATAGCTCACCACTATTTTGTAAATTCTCCATTTTGCTCATAATGTTGAAGTTCTTTTCAATATTTTGAAGAAATGTTTGCCTATTCTGGTTCTCCTGAGCACATACGGAAATTCCATTAATCTCTCTTAAAGTTTGAACCAGTATATCTGATCTAATGAAAAGATCCTCCACTTTGGCTGGAAACATCTGCGCAGCAGCTGGAATGGGGAGGTTATCTTTGAAGGCCTCATCACTTAGATAGCACAAATCCAATAGTTTCCAACCGAATCTGACAATTCTCTTTGATAACATCTTCAAACTTAAAGCAATATTAGACACCATTTTATCTTCTCCATCTGCTGAAATTATTTGAAATCCACGCTGCAAAGATGGAAGTAATGAATCATGCAACCTTGCTAGAGTGCTTAGTAATGCCTCGTTCCCATGACTGCATAGAAAGAGAGAGCAATATATACTATTTCATTATTGAAACTTTTGACAGCATTATTGCTAAAAAAACATGATTTACCAAACGAGCAGGTTTCACTAAAAAGACTCCTAGACAATGACCAAAACATGCTGGTGAAATTCTCCATCAGATACTCAGCTTAGAAAAGCCAAGCCCATAGGAAAGATACCTGATTTCAACAGGGCACAACAAGAAGACAGCAGATGGTTCATATGCAGTTAAGAAAGCATCCATGGATACAACTGCATCGTTGATGAAGTCCATAACCTACCAAGAAAGGAGAAAATTCTCAAATAGAGTATCATAAGCATGTCAACATCCTCATGTCTTGTAAAAGTTGAAGCAGAAAACAGCAATGGTCCACTTGAAACATCATAGATCCAACCCGTAGAAGAAAACGAAAGGGGTCACTTGAATTCCTTATGAAAAGAATTTCCTTAGCTGTATTTGTAGCAAAAAATTGGTTAATAAAGCTTCCATATATAATATCCCCCATTGTTCTAAAAATTTAATTTAATTTTGTACAGCATGTAGCAGAACAAATCCAATATAAAACCCACTATTACTCTAAATCTCTTTAAAGAATTAATTCAAATTGCCACTAAGTACTGAAACGGAGTAGAGAAAGGAATCAGTTGTACTAATAAGTTCAGTCAATAAGAAGAGAAAGCAACTCACTTCCAATAAATCAGCAAGAAGGCGGCTGGATCCATGTTCTCCAGTGTTTCCAGAGGAAAAAAGGGTCTGCACATGATATCGGGAGTGCTTATAAATCCTTCCAGTAAAAACTAATTAAAATAGTATTGAAGATACATAACTAGTAAGACTTAACCATTGTTCGTTAGGCAGAAAAGTTCGATCAACATTATTTATGCGACAAATGAGTTTCATTGTTATTTTACTAAGCTTCCTCGAGTACATATCAAGACTGATGACTGTAGAAACCCACTTTCGCATCCTTATTAAACAGGATGAACGGAACAAAAGGTGGAATCAGTCACTTTTGATTTTAAAAGATTTGAGGGCATACCTCCAAGGCTGAGCTGCTACGTTGGTGCATTGTTTGCACAATGCTAAGGAAATGTGATGCTACTGCAGTCAAATTGTCACGTATCCTAGTATGAGCTTTTACTGCATTGCCAACCTGAAAAACATAATAACAAAGAATGACTGAGTGAGTGAGTGACCGAGAGTGCAATTGGAGAGGGCACTAGGCTGATATTTATGAAATTCCTACCAGCACTCTGGTCAAATCTTCATTTTCATGGCCATATATAGCACATATGTCTAACAGCTTAGGCAAGTCAAGCAACTTCTTCTCCTGCAAAAGAACTACATGTGGAATTAGTGAACAACTGTTATTACGATACAATATTAAACAAAAAAGAGAATCCTAAACGTATTTTCTCCAATGAGATGTATTCAACTCGAATACAAATATAGGACATAGATGCAGACTTTCACTGAGACCTAAAAGCACCTAACAAACTCTAATATGGAAGCAAAAGTCATCTCATCTATGGATACGGTATATGATTTGTAACGAACTACTATCAGTTACCACACTGCACAAATTTTGGAGAAAAAGAAGAAAGCATATGATTTCATGAAGGAAAATGACATAAAGTAATGCAAATAATATCCAAAATCTTTAAGGGTTACACTAATCATGTTCTAACAAAACAGATTATCTTGACCACCAAACTTTATGAAAAACAATTTACAGAGAAAAGCATATCTATAGAACACACCTTCATGGTCTTGTGGACTGAGACTATCAGCAAGACGAGCGCCAGGATCCTATTAGAAGATCTGCATTACGATGACAGAGAAAGTGAATATGAAAAGCGATAATAACAACGCAATAACAGAATATGACGCTATACAGCTGCAACCTCAGACTTACATTCGATATAATACCATAAACACACGGCGGCTCAATTCAAACTCCCCAACAATGACCCCGCCACCAATTCGTTGGCGCCGCGATGAGGGAAATCATACCACCTACTCCTAAACTGAAGAAAGCTATCCAGAAATTCATGCAACGATGTATCACTAGCCACTGACAACAATGGGGGCAGCAGCAACACAAAAACAGTGAAAATATTAACAACAAATTGAATATTCAGTGTGAAGTTTCCAGCTTTTGCAGGTCAAGATGAAAATGTCATAGCAGTTATTGTACCTTGTCGCCAAAACTCCTTAGGGTTTAACTTCAGCAGGCAGGAGAGCTCTCTGTTAAGAAGATCCACCACTCTCTGCGACTCCAGGGCGTCCAATCCGCCTTCGTCGGCGCCGAGCCCAGCCGCCACCGCCTCATCCTGGGGCAAGTAACTTACGAAATTGCCACCCTGAGCTCGGCTCGGCACCCACTCACCTTTGTCTCCCATCCGAACCCTGCTCCCCGACGGCGGCACCAAAGCAGCGGTGGAAGTTTCGGCATTGGATTGCTGCTTGGATAGGGATTGCCGGAGAGAGGTAGAGAGCGTGGGATTGGGATTGGGATTGATATTGGGCTCTCGAGCGATTGGATTGTTCTGGTCTGGATTCTTAGGGACGAAGACCTTTTGGGGTTTTGGGACACCCTTGCTTCCGGCGGTTCGGGGGTGAGAGTTTCGGTTCCACATGTTCTCCCTCGCACTGAGTCCGATCGGATTTCGATTGAGGGCAAGTGAGACTCAGAGGGAGAAGAAAAGACGGTGTGTCGAACGGAAACCAAAGAACTGGGAGGTCGGTGGCGCTTAGTTGCCCCAAATCCTGGTATTTGTAGGCCGGGCGCGGCGGCTTATCTTTTATTTCTTGGCGAACACTCACAAGTCACCAGGCATTGGCAACCATACCGACTATTGACTCTTGACATTTTATTTTATTTATTTTCTAATTTTATATATCATTTAATCCTATCCTACAAGTATTTTTACAACTATTTAAGGGCTCATTCGGAAATGCATTTGAAATGACTGAAAGTGCTTTTAATGAAAATGTTTTTGGGTTATAAAAGTATTGAAAGTGCTTCCTGCAATAAGCTTTAATTATATGCTTCTTGCATGAAGCACTTTAAATATTTTTTGAGAATTCACTTGCATTTTTACTTAAAATTGGTTTTAAAAACATTTTTAGAATACTTCTAACAGGGGGACACATAGTCAATTACATCCAGTAAGATTAAGGGTTGGTCAACAAAGTATTCAACTTTCTTAGAGTCGTGCATAGGGAAGGAATTGATTTTAGATTATACATAGGGAAATCCATGTGCAATGGGTGTCCGTCGGTGGAGAGAGAAAGAAGAATGGCAGAGAGCACCGATTGGTTGAAGGGTTACGTTCATTTGCCCTAAGCAGACTGCCGGTGATAAGTCGGAGGAACGTGAGGATGACGTCAAGTCATCATGCCCCTTATGCCCTCGGCAACACACATAAATCTATTTTCTTCCCTATGAGTTCTAGTCTCAATAAGAATGCTAGTTCTTACTGTTCATATGTTATGATATGAATATACCACACCAATTCATTATGTGCTTCTTGCATGTAACACTTTGAGTGCTTTTAAATGATTTACTTGCATTTTTACTAAAAATTGGATCTAAAAATATTTTCACTAGAAGTGCTCTCAGTCATTTTAAAAGCACTTCAAAACGAGCTCTAAATCTTATAATTTTAATTTCAGTCATTCATAAGAAACGTTTTCACTACTATTGGCAATAAAAAAAAAAAAAAACGTATCTCGTGGTTATACATTTCTAAGTTCTTTTTTCAAGAAGTTTTCGCTAAGAATTTAATAGAGTAAGCAGTAGGAAAGGGAAGGTGATAAAAATTATTTTCCGAGGTTTATGTAATTTTGAGACTTTCAGAGGGGTGAGTCTTTAATAGATGGGATTATTAGTAATCGGACTTTATATCCATTAGATTGGCAAGCAAACAAAATTAGTACTTTCTCAATTCCATCATGACTGTTCATTTCCGTACCAAAAAATAGTCCAGTCGAAGAAAATTACTTACCGAGATCAAAAAACAATGGCAGCATAGCTTCCGAGAAATAATCTTTACACAGCGGTCAGTGATATCTATAATTTTGAACACTAACATTAGAGAAAAGGTTAACATCTTCAGGGAACTAAATTCCACACAAGCTCCACATGCCAGGGCATTTCTATTCTACAAGAGAAAATTCTGTCGATCGGCCTCTGCTGCTAAGCCGAAACAACCCTTAAAACTATAAAGTTTGCTGCGATATGTACCGTGTACAAAAGATAAAAAGAATTATGTCACCGACGATATATAACATTCAAAACTTTCATCATTGCCTTCTTAGAAGAGAAGCAGGAAAGCAAAAACTCAACTAGTTTAGTAAGCATAAAGCATAGTCTCTTCCGATAAGCTATATAGGGCATAAGAAGCACATGTATGCCGAGACTTCCACCCGAATCATAAATTAGAACATCATACCCACTCGAAGTTTGTTTCTTTAGGTAATATTAGAGCAATGAGACAATCTGGTGGACTCGGTGCAATAGAGAGCATAGCACAAGTGTCATCAGACTGTGGAAGTATGAACAGAAGCCTCGCCCATAAGGATTTCACAGCCGGGATCTTGATCACTCCTGAGCAATCCCTCTGCTTCAAGTATGAAACGAAATCCTGAAACTGGAGAACAGAAATGAAAGACTTAATTTATGTGGGAATTCATTGGCAGTTGAAACAGGATAGCGAATTTTGGCTACGCTTATGTGTTGGGGGTAGATAAACATGTACAAATATGAATCTCAAGGATCTTCATTTACAAATCTTGGAATTGCATGAATCTCAGTTTACTTTGGGATGTTTACGAACTTTGGTTTAGACTGGTCTAAACAACTTCAACTTTTGCTTCCATGTCTACAAATCTTAGAATATTTACGTGTAAGACGTTTACAAGACATAACTAATGTAATCTCTAACAAACATGCTCTGGAAGCGTTTTCATGGTTAACAGTTCATCTTTTTCCTAGTCCAGATAAACAATGCTATCACTTTATCAAGGGGCAGCATAGCTGCCATCCCAAGAGAGAGGCTACAGAACTACAGGACCAATGCAAAAGAGGATAACTTACGCCTTTGTGGTCGCCTGCAGAAGCTGGGATCAATCTGCATACCTCCCTCTGCATCACAAGTAAAAGAAAAGACAATAAATATAAATAAATTTTGGAAATGAATGACAGATACCGAGTTCAGGATAGTAATATTAATGGACTTACTTTATGTGGTGGGGTGCTAGTAAATGTTGACTTCACATGCCGAAAATCTGTACGCTTGGTCATGTCTAACTTAGCAGGCCATCTGAACCAATTAGCCATAAATTAGGAATAGATATTTAGTTTATACTCAAAAAACCCTTAATGAGATTTCAGAAAGGAAACTGGTGAAAAGAAAAGAACTTACTCTATAGGTTCAGAAATGGCATTCAAATATTTGCATATATCTGAATCCACCCTATGTGCATAAACAGTACAGTAATGAACACCACTTTTGCATAACATTCCCTGCCACTGATACTGAGAGCATTGTCCAGAACCTTCCACACCAGATGATTCTGGAACAGGTGGAGGAGGTGAATGGGGAGGAGGAGGAACAAAAGGCGGCTGCGACTGAGGCAGAGGTGGTGGAGATGGGGGCACTGGAGGTGGCATTTCGGGTAAAGGAGGTGGTTGAGATGATAGCGGTGGTGGAACTATCGGTACTGAAAACATTTGGTCAAATTGCTGTGCTGGAGTTCCCTGTATTTGTGCAAGTGGAGTCACAGAAGCAGGAATGAAGGGAGCTACAATAGCATTCCCATGAAAATTGTTGGGCATTACACCTGGTGAGATTGGGTTCAAAGGAGGATTATGATTTACACCCCGTGGATCCCACGAACTTGGAGGGGGGTAAACAGGCCGTATAAATGGAGATGAGTGAATTTGGAGTGGAGGTGGGACACAGGGTCCCTGTGTTGGCACAGGAACACAAGGAATGCTCCCTGGTGCGGAATGCAGCTCCATTCCAGGTTTTGCATACATCCACTTTTGTTCAGCAGCACGAGAAACAGCATGACTACCTATAGTAAAACCATTCAATATACAATTCATTTAGTATCAAAGGACAGAAAAGGAATGAGAAGGAGGCTAATTTCAAATAAATTTCTACCAAAAGTATTTCACCTTGTGAAGGATCCACAGGTGAGTTATTGTCATAACCATCAAGCTTTGGGGTGCCAGATTCAAGCATCTCCGTAGAGCCAGTAGCTCTCTTTGACTGAAATAAATATCCACTCTGTACAGTATTCCCCTGATTCTCGGACGTTACTCTAGGGGATGCAAGCTCCATGGGGTGGCTCTCATGATTTACTGAAAATGGTGCAGCAACATGACTACTGGGCATGTTTCCAGGGGTGCTGCTTCTTATGTCAATATGAGTAGGGGTAGGTGCAGATCTTGCACCATCAGTTTGGGATATTACGACATTAGCTGGCCCTGCACCATATGGTGGCCTGTGGTTACTCCTTTCCTTGCGATGTTGTCTGAGATGTGCCATTACCGCAGCAGCTTCTTCAGGAGTATCAAATTCCATCAGTAACGCACCTTCATTGCTAAGATCAGTGACCATGTAAGGACCCTTGTAAATCACTTTTCTTGATTCATGCAGAGTCTCATCCTTGGCCCATTGACTTAATATATTTCCAACATAAACATGGCAACTAGAACCAACTGCAATGCCATTCATGGTACCTCTAGTTCCCAGTCCTATATCCATAAACTTCACGTGCCAAGGAAAATGTCCGCGCATATATTCCCGAGCCTTTATGGCATCCACAATGTTTCTGTACTCTACCAAGGCAAACCCTTTGAGTGGGAAGAAAATAAATTGTTCTACTGCACCAAACCTCTCTAACTGAAACCTTACATGAGCTTCAGACACATCAGATCCTGAAAAGCCCAGCCAGAGCTGTTTAGAGGCGGAGAAAATATCCATGGCTCCAATATCCCCATCCGAATACCAAACACTTTGAGTTGTTGTGGAAGTATATGGTGACACCAAATGAGGTCTAGGAGATTCAAAAGAACTATTTACACCACCACTTAAAGATCTCATGAGAGGTGAGCCAAAATCCATTGCATCTTGATTCTTGTCAAGATGACCATGTTTTCTCCCATCAAATGAATTACTCCTGAAATTTAGTGGAGATCTTGTGACAGGTGAAAGAACCTGGTGGTTCATTAGGTCCCTTGGCACAGAAGACCTGCCATGTGACATATCTCCATGCTCCCTAATCTCAGAGTTTGTGGACCTTGTTCCCCAGCTCTCCTGATTGGAACCTGAAAGAGTAGTTTCAAGAGGGATTATAGAGCTGTAGGGTTTCAGATGTTGACCTGAAACTCTGTCAGAATAAAAAACATGATAGGATCCATTATTAGTTCTTAACTTACTATCTTTTCCATACAGTTCACTACAGGCCTCATGTTGGTTAGAGAACCTAGGAACCAGATATGCTCGTTCAATAAATCTGGATGGATCAGAATCATCCTCATCACTATCCACTTGATCATCTCCCACATCCATTCGCCCTAAAAATGAATTAAATACATCTTCCAAAGAAGATCTAATATCATTAAAAACTTTGGAAGACGATGATTTACATAACTTTTTATACTTTGAGAACATCCAACTTTGCAATGACAGATCTTGGCTAAGAACCTGCATACGTTAAAAAAAAAAAAAAAAAGGAAAAGAAAACCAAAAAAGGCCCCAGGGCAAGAGATAGTCAGCAATATCAGAAAAGGAATAATTATAATTAAACAAATCACTACACAAAAGGAAAACACAAATTTTCATCTTCAAACCAAATACTTGAGAAAATTCAACTTATTTCTACCAATCAGTCAGAAGTACAAGGATAACCATTTTAGGAATGTAAAAGATCCCCATTTAGTGGTGTCTGCCCCAAATTACTGCATCTCCTCTACATATGTGTTGGTTTAACATTTCATTGGCAATAGTACCTAAATTTCTAGAACTTAGTCAACTCAACAATCATTTTCCTAAAGAAATTTGTTGCATTCAACTGAAGCTGAGTTGCAATTCCAAAACAGATGGTACAGAAGGATGCATGTGATGCATCATGCATATCAATACGCTTACTATCATACCCTACTATTACATATGATCTGTTTTTGTTATACAAACAATATATGGCGTAAAATTTTTCCAAATTCTGTTATAAAAAACAATGGTGAGCAACTGATATTTTCTCCACTATCTTGAAAATATTAGGATTTACAAGTACACTATCAGAAATCAATAGCAAATTGGTACAACAATCAGAATTGACAATGACATTACATATAAAGCATGGGAAGCTCAAAAGAATTACCAGTCCTAACAAGCAGCTCTCTGAAACTGTTGATGCATCCCCACAGACATGATTGCCATCTGATGCTACCTGCTCAGAGCTAACCTTGCAGCCTCTGGTGCTAGATTCAGTATAACCTGTACTTGATTTAGATTCATCACCATTTTTACCAAAAGGATAGCCACCATCATTATCAAGCCTGCTTGTCATTTGCCTTAGAAAATACTGCCCTTTCAGAACTCCATCCGATGCACCGGATTTAAAGAGTTCAAACCAGGCTGCGAGTAATTTTTGTGGATAACTAAAGAGAATCCATATTAAACTGAGAGCGCATAACTTGGATAATTTAATAGGTGAAGATTCATTTTCATCTAAAACCTTTTGCTTTAGCTCAGAAAAATTCTGAGAGGAATCTTGTATTCTCACAGTTTCTTTCCCAACAATAAGAAAGACATCCTTTCCCTCACAGGAGGATATGAAGAAGGTGAGCACATTCTGGAAAACTGCAGAGCAAATCCCCCGAATGACGGATGATGTTGGCGCCACTGAAGATGCAGTGTAGCAAATATCAGCTAGACCAAGAACACAAGATTTAGCAGTCTGAAATGCAACACCATCAGCATCCTCTCCTCTCTTTATTACTGCCATGCTCCAGTTATACATATTGATAACAACTTTCCCTGCAGCTTCAAGGGCAGTTGGACATTTTGAAGCATACCGAGGAATGAGATCAGCAACAATGCGTTGTACACTCGTACAACCTGTGAAGTTTAGACTGAGGATTACCACATTGAAGATAAAAAATTTATAATCTACACCCTAAAGTATGAATGTTACTAATGAGGGTTCGAACGAACAACCTCGTTCATTGCAAAGCATTCTCTTTTCCATTCACTAATTCAATTTTACGGGCAAAGTACAATTCAACTAGCAGCATAAAGTTGTTGAACACATAATCAGCACCTACTTTATCTGCGCAACATTCCGATAATACCTACTCGATCTCATGTAATGCAAATTTACATAGAACCCGAAAAAGAAACCCTAATCATGAATTTTTCTTTGATTCTTCACTAAAGTTTACACAACGAGAACAATCATTACATACTACTTGCTCTTCACATGAGAAAAAATATATAAATCGAAACCAACAGGGGCAAAAGAGTAAAAGCAACACCGACCTCTGGAAGCAGTGATGAGAGAGAGATAAGCTTGCTCGAGCTCCGGCGTGAGAGCAGAGTCATTCTTCGAAAGGCAAAACTTGATCCGCTTGTAGCAATCGTATACACTTCGAATCTCGTCTCTGTGTCTCCGTTTCTTCATAATCTCCTCCTGAGACAGAGATTGTGGAGCGCCCGCGCTCCGCGGCGGGGCTAGGGTTTGTAGTGGTGGCGGTGGTTGTAATAATGGCGGCGATGGCGGCAGTTCTGGTTGGGATTCGTGCAGCTTCCGCTTCTTCGGAGGTTGCTCTCCCGAGTCCATGGCCGGCGAGAGAGAGGGAGGACGGTGGCTCGCTGAGATTCTGGTGAAAAAGCGATGGTGGCCGGCGGTCCAGTGCAGGAGTCGATGTCGATGTGGGCGCAAGATTAGGAACTAGTTCTAATCAGCGAGAAGGGACCCACCGTTTGTGAAACCGTTGGATGTACGCGCGGAGAATTTGTGGGTCACACAATAACTATTACCGTTTATTTGTACAAGGAGGTCCTTCAATTTAGAGTTATTTGTGGATTTTCTCCGAATTGTAAGTAGATGTCAAGTTTTTCCGACTTCTAATTAAAAATTCAATTTAAATTCATTTTGTATATCTTAATTTTTTATTAACCGACCTCTTTCAAAAGAAAAGAAATAAGAACCAGTATCTCAGAAACAAAATTAAGATAAATTTATTTATTTATTTTTCCTATTGCGGTTTTAATTATAGGGAAACAAAAATTAATGAGCTTTTGTTTTTTATTTTTGAATGATTACTCAATCTAATTAGACGTTAAAAATATATCATTGCTTAACATGGGAAAAACTTTTTCCATGAGTGGATTATAAATTTCTTATGAGTGCTAATTGCCAATTTTCCTCGTTAACTTTAATTTTAGCCTATTGTCTTTCTGAACCTTTTATAATTGGCTAACTTTTTCTTGAACTTTTATATTTGACCAATTTTCTTCTTAAACTTTTATTTTAGCCGATTACCCTCTTAAATTTTTATAATGGACAATTTAGATTTTGAAAATTTTCATCCATCTGGTCACGTGCACGACACATGACAATGTCTGAGGACATACATAAAGGTAATTTTATTCCTTAATGTGACAACAAATTGTTTTTTTTTCTTCTTCTTTTCTGCTAATTCACTCCATACACTTTTTGTTTGACTTTTATCCCTAAAGTGGACAACTATCAATCTTCCCTATAATCTTGTTTTTTCAACAACACTGGGGTTGTGATGTCATGTCATTAGCCTTCATTGTGACTTGATTCACATGATGCCTTGGTTCACTTATTTCAATTCAAGACCCAAATTCACATAAAAAATTAATTACTTATCTCCACAAATTCATTACTAGAAACTGGCTAATTATAAACGTTCAGGGGTAATCAGCTACAATCAAAGTTCAAGAGGAAAATTGGTCAATTATAAACCTTATTATGATTTGATTCAATCTGATTCCTAAATTTTAACGAAAATTGAAAATATTGTTTCTGATCCGATTCTTCCGTAAAACACTCCTAAATGAGAGAGAGGAAGATGTCAAAAGAAAGATTGTAAGGGGGGTAGTCTAAGGAAAATTAAATCATGTGTTGGAACCAAATTTGCGCACCACCGTGAAGGGAGGAGATGCACAAACTCGGCTACTTGTAAAACAATAAACAAACCATAAAGTAACCTTCACACCGTTAGGGTGCCGGTCTTCGACTGTCAAGTTGGTAAGCAATAATCGCGTCTAGGGAGGGGACTCAAGCAGTGGTTAGATAATAAAGTATGCGATAATCGTGTTACCCATGATGAACCTCAGAAGGGTACCAATCGAGAGAGAGTCCTTTTAGGATATAGAATTCGTACTAAATCGAGAGAATCCCAGATGATTTCTAGAATTAGATATTAGGAGTGTGGTTACTTGCAGCATATGCCAAATCCCTAGATTGTAGGAATCTCTAAGAATATAGAAAACCTGACTGATTCCATATGATTAGTTTCTGTATCTTGCGGAGCAAGAATGGTCAATCTCAGTGAAGTCGACAGACTTCACCCACTTATCCAGAATAGGGTGACGATGGCATCGTTCATTCGTCTAGCAGCTATGTGATAAAGGCTATTGAGTCCTTGACCAGCCTTATGAGGTACTTGTATTTCCATCCATTTTACTCTGACCCTGAAAAATTGTGGTCTTAGAATATGCACAACCATGTGAATTATTCGGCCAAACACACAATTCCTAAGCTATTATATTTGGAGAATGGCATAAATAGAAGGTATTCATTGTCACAATCGTGTTCTGAGTTAATAATACAATGTTATTTATAAATTTTTCTCCACATAATATCATACTATTAGACTAAAATACTACGCAGTGATGAACTTGTTTCAAGAATACAACGTTATTTACTAGCTTATGTCCTCATGTAGTCACTCAGGGTCGGTCTTGAGAATTTGGGGGCCCTAGGAGAATTTTCGAAATTGGGCCCTAATATTCTCTGATTTCTAGTTCTTTGTACATTGATATGTATAAGAAAGAATTCGTTAAATACATAAATATTCTATTTCCACATCCAATAGCATTAAAAATTAATATAAAAAGAAGATAAATATTACAAACATTACTTAAACATTAAACGTCTCATGTTTTTAGACTCAAATGTACTAAATATTTGTAGTCAAGAGTCTAAGATTGAGAGTGAAGAACAATAAAACTTGATTGATGAGTATAATAAATTCAACAACGCCAATTGTTTCTTTTGTGTTTCTCATAGGGAGATTGGGAAGTTGAAAGAAAAAAGGATTGCAAAGGGACTTGAGTTTTATAACTTTATATGCATTTGGACAGATGGATTAGGAGTTGGACAGATGGATTGGCAATAAATTTTTGAAAAGTAAGAAAAATTTAGTGACTAAAAAAGGCAGTGTTTTGAACTCAACACTCCAAAGAAAAAGAAAGCCGAACATTTCCACTTCACCAACAAATGAATTATATCTCTTACTTTTTCTTTTTTTTTATTTATTTATTTATTTTTTTTGTAATTATATGTTATTTACAAGATCTAAATTTTTTTTGGGGGCCCCTTTGAAGTGGGGGTCCTAGGCGGGCGCCTACTTGGGCTACCCTCAGGGCCAACCCTAAGAAATTGGGGGCCCAAGGCAAGCCTTCGAGTGGGGGCCCTAAAATTCTTTGACATCTGACTTATTGTACATTTATATGTATAAGAAAAGGTTTCGCTAAATACATGAAAAAAGTTCATTTCTACATAAAAAATCATTAGAATTCATATCCAAAGAAGAAAGATATGCAAACATTACTTAAATATTACACGTCTTGCGTTTTTAGATGCAAATGAACTAATTAAGTTTACATAATCTAACTTTGCAACCAATTCCTTTTCAATTGACAAAATAGCTAACCCATTCAATCTTTCTTGTGACATAGTTGATCGAAGATACGATTTGATCAACTTTAATTTTGAGAAACTTCTTTCTGCAGAGGCAATTGTAACTGGTATGGTTAACAAAATACGATAAGCAACCCATGCATTTGGGAAATAACCATCCATTTGTCTTATATATTTCAGCACTTCCATTGCCCGATTTATTTCCTTCGGCAAAGTTTCTCGCAAGATTCTTAGCTCTATAAATAAGTCTTTTCCATCAATATCAGAATGCTCACCATGTTTTAGAAATCCTTCAAGATTGATACAAAAACCCTTCAAGCTATCATTGTCTACATCTTTTAACTTCTTCAAATTAAACAAAAGCCTAAAAGTTTCTTCGTATTTCTGAAATTGTTCAAACCGGATATGAAGTGAAGTACGAGCTTGATCAATTATATAAATAAAGTAATCAACTCTAAAAGCTTCAATTGCTGATTGTGTTGCCGCTTCGCTAGCACTCTCATCAAACTGTTTCTTTCTTCGAATGATGCGTTTCTCAAGAAAAATAGGCTTAATCCCCAATTCACTTGCTATTTTCTTAGCTTCATTCATTGCCTCTTCAAATCCAGTTTCTCTATACTGATCAAGAACGGATATAAGCCCTTTCAATTGATCAATAGCAACATCAATATATATGTCTTCTTTTTGAAGAGTTTTGCTAACAATATTAATAGCAAACAACAATTCATGCCAAATAACCATACATAACAAGAACTCAAAATTCTTCAGCTCATAGATTACTAGGGATTCGGCTTCACTCTTTAACTTAGGATCTTCACTAGTATTTGCCAAGTGAATCAAAGCATCTCTTATCTGTTGAGCACTTTCTCTTATGGGTTTAACGCTTTCAATATGACTTTCCCAACGAGTTTGTAACAACGGTTTGAGGTTGTGACTTCCTTGCACATGATCTGTAAAAACTTTCTATCGCTTTGTTGAGGATGATAACAATGTATATATACATTGTACCACTCCAAAAAAAGACACAGCTTTAGGACAACAGTTGACCATATCACAAAGTGCAAGATTAAGGCTATGATAGCCACATAGAGTGTAGAATGCTCTAGGATTTATTTCAAGCGCTCTGTTTTACATGCCTTAATTTTTGCCTTTCATATTTGAACCGTTGTCATAACCTTGTCCCCTTATGTCATCAACATCAAGTTTAAGAGTGTTCAATGCACCTAAAAGCACATCAAATAATGCACGCCCCGTTGAGTCATGTACATTCAGAAATTCTAAAAAGAATTCTTCAACCTTTATTGGAGTTTTTGTAACATCTACACACCTTATTATAAAAGACATTTGATCTTCATGACTGGCATCTGGAATGCAATCAAGTATCACTGAAAAATAATTTGCTTATCTGATTCTTGCTATGATTTCACTTTTGACCTCACTTGCCAACAGTTGTATCAATTCATTTTGTATTTTGTGACCAAGATAATGGTAATGAGTCTCATGTGTATCAATACGCCCAATGTGCCCTTGCATTGTAGGATCAAATTCAGCAATCATTTCAATCACATTTAAAAAATTTACATTATTCTCTTTATACAGCTTCTCATCGTCTCCACGAAATGCCAAAGTAACTTTTGCAAGTCTTTTCACAACATAATTATCCTCCATAACACTTGTCTCAAATGTCCCTTTTCTTTGCTGATTTGTTGTTACACACTTTCATCAATTGTTTTACATTTTTGCAATCTCCTTTCCAATTCAATCCATTCACTCATGTAGTGAATGTGTTCCTTGCCAGTTTCATGAGTTGTAAGCCTGTGACCAATATTCTTCCAATCCTTAAAACCCTCATTATCTAGGTAAGTCTTGATTCCAATTTGCTTGAATAACTTGCAACAAAAACAAAATACTATCCAAAGAACATGAGTACATTAGCCACTTCCTATCTTGCTTTTCCCCATTAGGCAATTTTCTAATGTAATGTACAGAAGAAAAATGCCTATCTGAATTATCTTTCGGAAATGCGACATCATCAACTCTTTTAGGACC